AAAAAAAAGAGAACGTAAAATTATCAAGTTCTTTTGTAAGGCTCCGCTGTCAACTTGAACAATCAAACATTTTGAACCAAACACATAGATGTTAAGCCTATTAGCAGTAGTTGTAACGCTAAAACGTGCACGTTGACGAGCACAGCAAAGCGAACAAACTCCTAAAATTCGTAAGCGCAGGCAAAACCTCAATCGCTCGTCATCTAACGCCACAAAATGACGCGAAATGTCCGCAACGCGATCGTTCAATTTTATGCCCTCGCATACATAGAAATGAATCGTTCAAATATGACGTATAACAACTATGGATTTGCGACAAACGAATTTTAAACATCTCGTACCCCCTGCGTAACGCGAGAACGAGATAGTACACCCATATGGAGCGCATTTCGACCATACTTGTCAACATTATCCACTTCAGCTCCTCCTTTCAGTAGAAATCCTACCTAGAATAAAATTTTCTATTAAAACCTAATGAAGAGAATTAAAAGTTCCTCACCGTCCTTTCAAGACCTTTCGATGCAGCCCAATGCAGTGGAGTTGCACCACTGTTATCAGCTGCATTCACATCGGCTTTGTTTTTTACCAGATATTCTACGGTGAATGCTCTGAAAGGAGGCCTTGATGACTTACACCCGTTTGGTTCAATGACGGATTTGCAGAGTGGTACCTGGTACTGAAGGGCACTACGATTTTTCAAAACCAGAAAAAAACATCTATGTGCTCGCCTTCGTTACATATCAAATTTTTCTACTTTTTCAAAATGAGCAAGACAAGAGGGTGTTCAGAAGAAGAGAGGTTAGTACATGATAAGTGCCTCACGTGGTTGGCTTGAAAAGTTACCTCAGCCAGAATAAAACAGAGTTTATTTTTGAATTTAATCTTCTCATACACGCAGCTCAACCAGACAGCCCACAAAGCTTTAGTTTTTAGTTGAATATCTTATATTACTAAAAATTGGGAGGAGTCAGTTTAATCAAAATTAACAACGCAAAATGTGGGATTATGAATTACATAAATGATTAACGAAACTCATTCAAACCCGCCAGTTAGTTGGTAGCTGTTCAAAATGGACAGTTGAGTCAACAGAAGGCACTCGTACGAAGTGGTGCTTTT